AGAGACTCACTGATATTAAACCTCTCACTTCCTTTTTGAAGCCGCTTTGTTTACCAGCTAACATGCTATTTTTACCGGTGGCTCTCTGCACGCTCACAGCCTCAGCTTACCGTCGGAGAGGATGTGTCCTCTGAAGCTCTTCTGGAACAACACACACTTACTGTACTGTCCCTTTCACACATGACAGACATTAGTTTGTAAAGCTTGCTTGTTTTTCCTTTAGTTTGAAAAGTTTAAATCCAGTGCAAATGCCCACGGATGAATCATACATCATGTGAGGTAGTTTCTTTCAGTTTTTTTTGTCACTTTATTGTTTCAGATAAGAAACTTGATTTAAAATCAGGTCCACAAGATACAAAAGTACAACACAACAACGAATAATGCAAAAGAAAAGGATACAACTGAATTTAAAATGTAAAAATGTTTCCTAAAATACATTAAAAAAACACAGATCACTACATTACAATATTACAAATGGGGTTTGTTATTATTTAGGGTCGTATGTGTGGCTAATGTGTTTTATATACATTCAAACAGAGCCAGTGTTTTGCAATAAGCTATGCTAATCACCTCCTAGCACTTTAGCTTCATACAGCTGAGTCACGCTGCTTCCTGAAAATGACAAAGGGAGAAGGAACATACTTGGTGTCTGGTTTAGAGTAGTGTATATCTCTTGTTAACGTTGACACGATATATAGCTAGCAGCAGCTCATATTGACACAAAATGAGACGGTCACAGCATGTTGAAATAATACATGTATATTCTTTCTTTGTGAGGCTTTTTTTGCTTTCTATGTTGAAGCATGTTGAGTGGTTGTGTGGTCATTTGTGGGGCTATAGTTGTGTTTTTATGGACAAAAGCTGTTTTTTTTGTCAATGAAGTTAAAGTGAGTAACAGCAGTAATTTAGCTGCCTGGCTCCACTTGCTGTGAGTCATATCAAATCTGCTTCCTTGCAGCTCTTACAAAAGTGTTAATGTGCCGAAACAGGTTTTACAGGAGGACAATAACCATCAGGTCCAAAATGTGTTACAGGTCTGTGAAAAGACTTTGATATACAGACAGTTTCCTAATAAACACGTAATTTAGTATACAGTACTGTTGGCTAACTTTTGATGTCAGTAGTATACAAGTCAGATGAGAAATTCAGTTCACATTTATTTAGACAGAGAAAAGCACGATATGGCCAAAAAGGCTTTTAATTTTGACACAATGTGGGGTCGCCTTGTTTGCATTTTTAGCAGGTGTATGATAAAGGATGTACAGTATTACATCCTGGCTCAGGACTTAGACGCTGTGAGCCGCTAGCCTCTACCAAAAGTAAATACAAATATTTCTTATTAGCTGGTTTGCCATCCTTGTGGACAGGAGAGTATGGGAAGGAGAGGAGAATGCTGTGGGAAAAAGGACGAGAGAATGTTGATGGGAAAAGACTGGAGAGTCTGGTGGAGAAAGGACGGGAGAATATTGTGGGGGGTTGCTTTTGGGAATGGACTGCAAGAGTACTGTGGATGGGGGTTGCTGTGGAGAAAGGACAGGAGAGTATAGGAAAGGACGGCAGATTGATGTTGTACTGTAGCTTATATTTAGCTACCTGCTGCTGTTTGAACCACAATGTGTTGTTTTCTTCTACATGAGGCAACATGTGGGTGTGAGGCTTCGGAGTTTAAAGTTCAAATGCATCTTTGATGACTAATTACTAATCTAATTACTTTAACAATTCCTTACAGTTTTGTCTTCCCCTCTTTGTGTTGAGACGTAGGCCTATAAAAACGGCAACTAATGGGGCAAAGCCTGCGAGCTAGTTCAGGCAGTCAAGTCGAGCACCAATGATACATTAACACGCGACGCACCTCGTCCCTCTTACAACCAACCAAACAGATTCTCCTAAACATGCCGCTGTAGTGACCACTCATTAATACACTGGGGTTCATAATTCACACATGGAACTACAGTTGGGGTTTTGTTTCCACACGGACATGTTACATGTTTTCTATATAACAGTTCTTAGGATTTAGCAGTCAGGTATATATTACACAGTTATTAATGGCATATGTATATAATGTGTATATATAGCACATATTGCACATAGTTTGATGGTATTTAACAGCAGCAAGTTACACAATTTACAAAATGCAAAAAAAACACACCTTGTAACAGTTCTAAGGGTTTAGCAGCCAGGTATAAATTACACAGTTATTAACGTCATATATTGCACATAGTTGATTGGTATTTAGCAGCAAGGGGTGATATAGTCTGTGTTGTGGTGTGTGTAGGGAAGGGGGAGGGGGTCTACTGGGGCTGTGCTGGTTGTATAGTCTGACCGCTGCAGGAAGGAAGGACCTGCGGTATCTCTCCGTGAGACAGCTGGGGTGCAGCAGCCTGTCGCAGTGAGGACAGGGTGTCCTGGAGGGGGTGGGACATATTGTCCAGCAGGGAGGACAGCTTGGCTGCTATTCTCCTGTCTCCCACCACCTCCACAGTGTCCAGAGGACTCCCCAGGACAGAGCTGGCCTTCCTTACCAGTCTGTTCAGTCTCTTCCTGTCAGCAGCCGAGATGCTGCTGCCCCAGCAGGCCACACCATAGAAAATGGCTGATGCCACAACAGAGTCGTAAAAAGTCTGAAGGAGTGACCCCTGCACCCCGAAAGACCTCAGTCCCCTCAGCAGAAAGAGTCTGCTCTGTCCCTTCTTGTACAGAGCAGCAGAATTATCAGTTGGAGATCATATGCTGCTTATAATAAACATATTAAGAAACACATGAGTTGTCTGACTGAACATGTGTTGTGCTTTTGAAGCACTGTTAAAGTTACAGTGTAACCAAATGTGTACTTTCCTACATTGAGAAACAGCAGTGTTAGCAATAGTGTTTGGAGTAGTGGATCTAGTAATAATCAAAATGAGTTAAATTGTGTCAGCATTATTGGTGTCTTGTTGATGCAACACGGGAGTTGCAATGGTAGCTTAGTCCATTATGCTACACGAAAAACAAAAAACAGTAGCAGTGCATTTGCAACAGGAGGAATGGAAACAAAGCAAAACAATGGTGAATCCTCTGGGCCGATAATATGGCCGGCATATTTTAACATGTAAAAAAAATCCTTATCAGGGAAATACTGTTTACTAGAGGCCTTACAAGGTTGTATGATGGTGGGAAGTCAGCTGCTCTTAATCCAATTGCTCTATTGTTAATGAGTCTATCTCTGTCAGTGCTCTAGTAAACATTCAAGAGGAAATGAGACCCGAAAGATAACAATTAAAACAAAAATAACCATGCCGCTCCATCTACATGCGCTCTCACAAGGACATAGTGTACACTTGTCTAAAAAGGAGGCACGGTTGATTCGATTTTTTTCCTGTCCTGTGAAGTAATAACTGTTTGATATAAAGAGCAATTTGCACAGGTGAAATGTACATATGGAAACTGTACACAACATAATTTAAATAGATCTAAACCAACTTTTAAAGGTCAACACATTTTAGACAGCCTTTACAGCACATGCTGAAACACCTGCTGTTTTGTTTTGGAGGGCTTTGGCAGTTTCCAAGCATGTGAACAATACACTGACACTACATCTTGAGCCGTCCTGACTCACCCTGCGGCACGGTGAAGACACACTGAAGACACACTGAAGACACACTGAAGACACACTGAAGACACACTGAAGACACACTGAAGACACACTGAAGACACACTGAAGACACACTGACATTCATTCCTTTTATTTGAACCTGGATTAAGTGTTGCAATCTTTTTTTAAATGTTCTGTTGTTGTGGGGCGAATTTAGTTTGGGCCAAAGGTTAATTGAGGATAAGATTATTATTGACACATGAGTTTTATGTACAGCGTGTCCTGATGCTGATAGTGACCCCCAGTTGTTGTCTCTTTACCTGACTGCCTCTCCATAACAGCGTGGGAGGAAGAAACAGAAAGGTAAAGAGGAAGAAAGACACCTGAAATTTAAGCCGCGTGGAAAACACTTTACAGCCGGTACACAATGTACAGACTTATATTTACATAAAGGGAGAACATGGGAACATGTAAGTGGACTTTAAAGGCACCTAATAAATATTCAGTAGGTGAGGTGAGGTGAGATAATGCTTCGGTTTAAAATGTTTAATAGTTATCAAGATGGATGGATGGCAAGGATGATGGCAAGCGATGTATTTATTAATTTAAGGCACTTTACTGCAGTGTGATCATTTTATGATATTTAAAGTATTTAAGGGGCATGCTGGAGACCAAACATATATTGAAGATATCAATTAATTAGAATAAATATATTTAAAAATGGAAGAGAAGTTATTACACAGATTCAAAGTAGACCACCCACATCCTCTGACACTGTCTCTCTGTTACACGCACGCACGCACGCACACACACACACACACACACACACACACACACACACACACACACACACACACACACACACACACACACACACACACACACACACACACACACACACACACACACACACACACACACACACACACACACACACGATTTATTCAAATCGCTGCCCACTCACAGTCCTCTCAGCATCTGTCTGCTGTGTGTGTGTGTGGGATGGACTTTCAGACAGTGTGTCAAGTAATACACTAACACACAACAAGTGAGTGATATTTAGTGTGGGTTAATATGAAATAAATGTAAAACTTTAAAAACATAGTTCCCATGGTCTCTAAACATAGTAGGGAAGAATAATCTAAATTAGCTTAGACTACAAGTGGGAATTCTGTGTATTGTATAAAATTACTTTTAAATATTGCTTGGCTTTCAGAGTATTGCGGAACTTTTCACATAATCTAATATTTTAAAATATTGAGAAAGCTTATTTGCATGTATGTTTTATTTAATTATGGAACAAAATGTCGGAACGATTTGTCTTTCCCTCTGTCTCCCTCTTTCAATTCTGTCTCTACAATAAAGGCACACAAATCATTAATAAAAAAAGAAATGACTTATTCAAATTGAGATTTTCTTTCTTTTGCAGGGCTAAGGCTCACTGCAGGAATGTCAGACTGCTTTCCACAAAATTCACCAAACCTGACTCCTGATGAGGAAGACACCTCAGCAAAGCTCATCGGGTAAGAACAGGAAGTCTGATCTGTAGTGATATCAAAAAAAAATCACCATTCCTGTTGTGTGTATCAGCATTGATGGCTGTTCATTTGAGATATGAAACCAGAGCCCAGTCTGCTCTGATTGGTTAGCTGGCCGGCTCTGTTGTGATAGGTCAACCACTTAGAGATGTCCCGCCCCTTTGCCTTTCACGTACAATGTGTTGGACCGCTAGCCAATACAAGCGTGAGCGTTACACAATGATGTGACTTTGTTACAGAAGTAAATAATGGAGGCATTTCAGGCAGGGGGAGGAGACTTTCTCTGGAGGGAACTTTGGGATTCTAGTCTTTGCAGACCATTAACATGCACTGAAACCTATATATCCCACAACAGCAAAGGTAAAAAAACCCAAAAGCATAATAGCGCCTCTTGACTATATTCTGTGATTCACCCAAGTGACTAATGTCAAAAACGCATCCAGACACTTTCAGTGGTTTGGTCCTTAGAGCAAAATGACGTCACCGTTTTCCATTTCCATGTAGCACGTGAAAGGGATTTGAATATGATCTAAATGTGACCTAAATGTTTTGAAAGGCCTGTTTTATGCAAAATGTAAAAGATGTTTTCATTTTCACTTGAGGTGAATCATGTGATGTTTTCTTTTCAGTCCAGTCAAAACAACAGGTTTCTAATTCACACCTTATTTACCCAGATTTCAGGCCACATTACATTACATTTAATTTAGCTGACGCTTTTATCCAAAGCGACTTACAATGACCAATTACGGGGACATTCTACCTGGAGCAACTAAGGGCTAAGTGCCTTACTCAAGGGCACACTAGTGGAGGTGTTCCAGGCGGGATTTGAATCTTCCGATCTTCAGCCCACCTCACTATCCATTAGACCACCACTACCCCACATCCTCCCTCCTCTTCTCTCATTCTTCAGCTTTCCTTCCTCTTCTACCGCTAACATTTCAGCTGTTCAGTTCACTCTCTAATGCTGACTGAGTGAGTGCAGCGGCTCAGATTAATTAACTAAAGTGGAGGCACCCATTCATCACAAAGACCCGATGATCAATAATAATGTGTCATGGCGTCAGACAGGGCAAAAATGCGAGTGTCAACACCAGAAGCTCTTACGTTACCGAGTGTAAAGTATGTGTGTGAACGTGTTTGTAAAGTATGTGTGAACGTGTGTGTAAATGTGTGTTAGGAGCGTTATGCATCACACAGTTTGACTGCCTGGCAACAGAGGCGATGCCAAGGACTATAAAGCAGCTGATAACTGCAGCTGACGAAGCATTTTGAAAATCTAGAGATGAGAAGGAATTGACGATGCAATTCACAAGACAACGTGGGCTTTTATCAAGGTTACATTTCATTGTTTTTTATATCAAGGTTGCCAGATGTACAGTAGGTGTGTTTGTAGAATAAAAAGGGAAACAATGTGGTTGCAGGACTCACATAACCCTCACTTCTCATGATATAACTTTGATAAGTGCCTTCAGGGTTATCAGAGTAACCTCCAGTATCTGAAGTACTCTGATTTGACAGGTCACAACCATAGACTGTATAAAGGTCACAACATGTTTACATCTACATCAGTTATTAAAGTGTGAGCCAGTTGCTCGTGCGCTTAACCACAGCAGCTCATGTGTTTCTGTCAGCTTGTTGAAACACTTGCAAGGACAACATGCCAAATGTACGAGTATAATGGGTACATTTTGACAGCAATTATGGTGTCAGTACCGGCATGTAAACACAGTTAATGAACAAAATCAATCGTGGCTTTCTGATTAAAATGTCATCGCTGTAAAATGCAGGCTTTAAAAGTTTTTTTTAATCCATTTGGGTTTAACGTTTATGTATTTATTAATTTACACAATGTGCCTTATCTGTTTTGTCAGCCTAGTTACTCACTAACTGTTCTCAAAGACTTATTGTATATGGTTAAAAAAAAGTGAATAATGTTAAAAGGGAACGAGTAATCAGCTAACGCCTATACTTTTTTGCGGTCAGAAAACATTTGCTAGGATTGGTCCCTATTTCAAAGTAATGAGTTTATTTATTTTATTTGTTGTTCAATTGGAAAATGACCAAAAAAACTGACTAAATGACAGAAAAACTGAAACAAATGAGTAATCCTGCAAACACTCATACATTAGCCAAAGGAACACTATGAAAGCAGTGTGTTGGATGGGATAACAGATTTTGCCAGTTGGCCATTTCCCCATATGACACAGTAAACATTGTTTAAAAGCATGACTATAAACTGTTTAACCTTAACATTGTACTCATTTCCACATTGCTCTTTCCAAATCCTTACCGAAACGTCACCATTGCCACACACTGAGAGAAATGTTCACTAATGACGGAGACATCAAACAACATTTTGGGCCGTTACATAATAGTAGTATGTCATTTAATCTGGAGGATGTATTTGCAATGAGCTGCAAAACATGTTTTTGTTACACTTCATGCTGGTTTTCGTATGGATACAAATGTACACATATTCAATTATTAACTGAGTTTGAGTCATGCTGGTAGGCGGACTTTGTTTGCTTTGAACAGAACCAGAAAACTGTTTCTTTGTTTTTCCAGTTGTTATGCTGTAAGATGACCTAACCGACAGCTGGCTACACCTTTTAAAATACACACATGCAATAAATAAAGCACATTACTTAAACTGTCAAGATATACGGTTTGTAGGGAGAGTGTGTTTGATAGCATGTCTTAAACTCTCTTGCAGAAATCTGCGGCTTCATGCTTTTTAACCGACATGATCCAGTTTGTTGGTGGTTTAGATTATTTGTATACGATGTGTGAGCAGCAAAATACACTTTAAATTAAAATCTAAAAGAATTATAAATATATCTTGGGAGTTTGTAGAAGATAATTTAATGTGTTTCTACTTCAGATTAAAGCCATTTAAGGATAGGATTGTCTTCCACGTTGAGTCGATACCACAGGTTAAGTTGGCTTAACCGAGAACTGTAGAGACCATTCCCTTGGATAAGTCAATGCTGCGATTATAATGCCTTAAAATAAATGAAGACCTTTCTAAGCTTTGATTTGACAGTGACGATAGTTATTTATTTGCAATTTCCAGTGAGTGAGAGTTTGTGACGCATCTGTGGGTAGACTGAGAGGTGCATGTCTGTACGTAGGTGTCCCCCATTAAAATCTATGAAATGTTGTTTAGACTGAGGTGAATGTGCGTCATCTTGTCCCCACTTCCTGCACAGCTGCATTGTTTTCTTTGGAGCAGATAACTGAGAGTCGTCGCTCCAGCTCTGAATTCCCTTGTTCTCTCCTGCTGAGATTTCCCTCCTCGAACCATAGTTTCACATTGATGCGTATAGCCTCCAAATTAAAGTAAGCCATGATTCATGTTATTATTTGCAGCTGTGCGTTTTGCTACTCTATGAAAGAAAGAAGGAAATGGTTTGATGGGTATGATATAATAATAATAATAATAATAAATTTTATTTCAAAGAGCTTTTCCAGGTGCTCAAAGACGCTTTACAGTGGTTTGATAAAACATGATAAAATAGAATAAAGAATACAAATTAAAAGAAAAAAAAATTAAAACAGCAACACAGCATAATTCACAAATTAAAAGCCAGTCTGAAGAGGTGTGTTTTGGTCAGTATTTTGAAAGTGGGGGGGTCGGTGCAGTCTCTGATGTGTTGTGGAAGGGAGTTCCAGAGGGTGGGGGCAGCGATGGAGAAAGCTCTGTCCCCCCAGGTTCGGAGACATGTCGAACACATCTTTAAAAAACAAGTCTTCAGTCCCAATACACCCTAAAATGAAACATACAATGAAACAGACAATTGCAATGCAAGTTTGGCCATTTGCCATATTGTCCTGCATTTAAGAGATTCATTCCTTTTTTAAATTTGTGCTTTTTAAGGCACACAAGGTCATAGTGTCTGTTTCTATATGGGCCTCTTACGACTTTATTTTAAATATTTTTTAATGTTATATTATATTTTCTTATAATAGTTCTCTATCTCTGTTTTTTAATTTTTTGTTTTACTTTTATGTATGCACCATGACATCAATAAGATAAATGTTAATATGTAAGCAGAGGCTGACAAAAGACATAAAAAGTCAATAAAAAGATACACTGGATTGTCAGGAACGTTTCAAATCTCTTGCATCTTAGCTAAATGTACTTTATATACAGGAAGTCAAGGGCAGATAGCACACAGTTTATCCACAGTTAAGATTCAGGTAATGGTTAAAAGGAGGATTGTCAGGAGGAAGACAAGTCCCTCGCCTTCACCTTTGATCTCCAGCCAATACCTGCAGCGGGTGTTAAGTACTCTTAAACCTGATGCCACTTTATCAAAAGAGACAACAAGACAAAATACCAACTCATCCATCAAACTGATTCATCTCCTTTCACCGATAATGAATGGACTGATTTATTAGGTGGAGATATCGCATGGTCTAACCTCTGATCTCCAACCGATCTGCAATTTGTATTCACCCCTACATGGTGGAGTGAGTGTCAAGAAGGAGCTAAAGCATGACATGAATGTAATTTACAAGCAAATGAGTGGCTTGTATAAATGCTAGGCTTCGATATCGTCATATTTTTCAGACTTTAATAAACTTGTAAGCAGACTAATAGGGCAACAATTCTCACATGATTTAATGTGTCATATTATTATATAAATAATCGCTACAGAATCTCTAACATTATGTAAAAAAACTTCAGAAATTACAAAAAACTGGGGCTAAATGTATTTGTAGAAATTCCATATTTAGCGGTTAATCTAGAAAATTACAAAAAGATAGCTAGTTTCACATAATAATACATTGCTAAAAAATAACTAGTCATTATGGCAGTGAAAAAGCAATAACACAGGTCTGAAGCTCTGTGCTGATCAGCTGTCTCCTGTGTTTACTGACATCTTCAACACCTCCCTGGAGACATGCCACGTCCCAGCATGCTTCAAAACCTCCACCATCATCCCGGTTCCCAAGAAAACAAGGATCACAGGATTAAATGACTACAGAGTCGTCGCCCTGACCTCTGTGGTTATGAAGTCCTTTGAGCGCCTTGTCCTGTCCCACCTAAAATCCATCACAGACCCACTCCTGGACCCCCTGCAGTTCGCCTACAGAGGACGACGCTGTCAACATGGCCCTTCACTTCCTCCTCCAGCACCTGGACACAGCAGGAACCTACGCCAGGATCCTGTTTGTGGACTTCAGCTCCGCTTTCAACACCATCATCCCGACTCTGCTGCAGGACAAGCTCTCCCAACTGCGCGTGCCCGACTCCACCTGCAGGTGGATCACAGCCTTCCTGTCTGACAGAAAGCAGCACGTGAAGCTGGGGAAACACGTCTCTGACCCCCGGACCATCGGCACCGGTTCCGCTCAAGGCTTCGTTCTTTACCCTCTGCTCTTCTCCCTGTACACCAACAGCTGCACCTCCAGTCACCAGTCTGTCAAGCTCCTGAAGTTCAGACGACACCACGCTCATCTGACTCATCTCTGGTGGGGACGAGTCTGCCTACAGGTGGGAGATGGACCATCTGGTGACCTGGTGTAGGGACAACCACCTGGAGCACAACACTCTCAAGACAGTGGAGATGGTTGTGGACTTTAGGAAGAACGCAGCCCCACCCACCCCCATCACTCTGTGACTCCCCAGTAACTGCCGCTTCCTGGGCACCATCATCACCCAGGACCTCAAATGGGAGCAGAACATCAGCTCCCTCATCAAAAAAGCCCAGCAGAGGATGTTCTTCCTGAGGCAGCTGAAGAAATTCAACCTGCCAAAGACAATGATGGTGAACTTCTACACCTCCATCATCGAGTCCATCCTCACCTCCTCCATCACCATCTGGTACGCCACAGCCACAGCCAAGGAAAAGGGCAGGCTGCAGCGGGTCATCCGCTCTGCAGAGAAGGTCATCGGCTGTAATCTGCCATCCCTCCACGACCTGCATGCCTCCAGGACCCTGAGGCGGGAAGATAGTGGCCGACCCCTCCCACCCCGAACACAAACTGTTCACCCCCCTCCCCTCTGGCAGGAGGCTGCGCTCCATCAGGACCAAAACCTCTCGTCACCTGAACAGTTTCTTCCCCTCCGCTACCGGCCTCTTAAACAAGGCCCGGCCCCCCCACTGACACTTACCTCAGCCACAACGTAGTCTCTATATGCATTACTAAGCGTCTTTGAGTTGTGTAAAGCGCTATATAAATAAAATGCATTATTATTATTATTACATTAATGCACACAATGTTCATACTGCTTACTGCACATATTTCCTGTTTCATATTTCATATTTTATATCCTATCGGGGCGGTAGTGGCGAAGTCGATAGGGACTTGGCTTGGTAACTGGAAGGTCACCAGTTCAAGTCCCGGCAAGACCAAGTCCTACTGAGGTGTCCCTGAGCAAGGCACCGTTCCCTACACTGCTCCCCGGGTGCCGTTCAAAATGGCAGCACACTGCTCCTAACACTAGGATGGGTCAAATGCAGAGAAACAATTTCCCCTCGGGGATTAATAAAGTATATCAAATCAAATAATTCATTCATAGCATTCTATTTCCATGTAAATTACTGCTTTATTTTATTGCTATTTAACTATATTTTTATTACGGTGTCCTTAAAGATTTCTTGTTTTATATTTTATGTCTGCACCATGACATCAAGTCAAATTCCTGGTATGTGTGAACCTACCTGGCAATAAACCTGTTTCTGATTCTGAAAAAAAAATGTCCTGTACATGCAAGGGCATCAGCTTTAAAATATGTTTTACATGAAATGGGGACGCTTTTGGCTGTCATCACTTCACGTAATTTAAATATCAAACGCAAAAATATGAAATGTACTAACCTTAGAAAAACCTCCCTTTATATCAGTATCTATACTCAACATACAGTATGCTGCGAGTTTGATTTAATGCTCATCAAACTTCATTGATAAATAATAAAACCTGATTTATTGTAGTCATTATCCCAATCTAATTTCTGTCCCATACAAAATAAATATTTCCTTTTTTTTTTACAAATGTGCTTTTTGACTGCAGGTGTATTCAGAGATAAATCAAGCATATTGTCACTTTTTGTTTTCCTTTATAAATGTTCTCTGCAGTTTTTAAATCTGCCCTCGGAGAGCTTAATGCATTTCCACTTTATCAGGCAGGAAGCGGAGCACAGAGTCATCCATCAGACTTCACTTCAGTAAATTATCCACCACAGTTATACGTCTTTGTCCTGAGTGGAGAGGATCTCTGGAGTGAATAAATGCCCCTGTTTGTTCCCTTTTTCCTTCACTGTTCTGTGCAAAGCCAGGCATAAAGAGGGCAGCCGACTCATTCAGCTCCTCAGCTCCTCACACAATGATTAACAGTCTCTGAAGCCGAGACATTTCAAACCATCTGTCATGGCTGCGCTGAGGAGAGAGGCTGGGTTATAAAAGGAAAACAGTCATTTATCTTTTTTCTCGTCGTCTAACAAGGTCTTTAATCACAGTGTCCACCTCTGGGTCTTTAAGACGTTTATCAGCAGAAGGAGAGCCTGTCAGTCAGGAGAGGGATCTGAATGAAAGGTCACCTATCAGGCAAAATGCACTTTTTGATGTCTTTTATACATGAATATGTGTCCCCGGTGTGTCGGGGAACTCACAAAGTGTCCGCAAATAAAACCCTCTCTCTTTTCCTCCGTACCCAAATCTCTAAAAACGGGGGTACAACGAAGACGTCTTCCAAGACGGTAAATCACCATGAAAATAGTCTATATGATTGGTATTAGGAACAAGTTGAAATGATTTTTATTTTGTCTTTTTAATTCACTAAAAAATACTTACATAGACAGATATTTAAAAAGACACACTTGAACAGAATGCACAAAGGAATGTTTATGTATTAAAGAAACAAAACATTTTATAAAATTTTTTACTAAATATTAATAACGCACAAATTACGAGGCATGGTTGTCAAAATAAAAAGTATTCAGGCTGTGGAAGACCAAGTATTGTTGCTTCCTACATTTAAGACACTTTTCCAGATAAATAGGCCTAGCTTAAGTTGCTGTGTCCTTTTATCTCTTGTGTAAAGTCTGTCTGCTGAATCACTTCTGGCTCCAATTATCTATCAATGTTGTGTTTATTTTACTGGTAAAAATACCTTTAAAAAAGCCAGAGTCTCCCTGAGAAGATCTCCGCCTCGTACTGGTCGTATGGTTTTAATTAGGGACTTGTTCTGTGTTAAACATTGCAAGATGGCCAAGGAGTCAAATGTGGGGCCAGTACAGTAAATGCATCATTTCCCCCAATAGAGGGCTTTTCTGTTTTCTATTTGTCATCAGTTTTTCTTGACCAGATGTATAAAAACTTTTTAAAATGTCATTTTTAACATATGCACAATTCAGTATACATTCACCCATTACTGCCTGTTTGTAGAGTGTATGTGTGTCTTCAGTCTGGACAAACACCGGGCAGAAAGTTTAGAAGGAAAGCAGCTTCTTATATATTATGTACAGATGTTTATCAAATGCAAGTGTAGAAGTAACTTAAGACAAACCTTTATTGATCCCAGAAGGAAAGTCAGGTGGCGGAGCAGCAGCAACAAAGAGAGACAAGGAAACACAGCATAGGGAAGGTAAGAGTTCAAACAGAGATACAAATAAGTGTAAGAGTATACATTAAAATAACGACAATATAATAAGGAGCTTAGTATATATGTGAGTCCAAAGGTATGTACATAAGGTGCAAGTCGTTTTTTAAATGCCACTAATACTCTTAATGTTTTTTCATTTTTGTAAAGCACTTTGAATTGCCTTGTGTTGAAAGGTGCTATATAAATAAACTTGCCTTGCCTTGAGGGTTTCATCATAGCACTGAGGTCAAGAGAACATTCTGTAGAAAGCGACTTTAGAAAGAGAAGAAGCCTGTGTGAATCAGAGCAAGACAATGTGGGTCAGGGAAGAAATGGAAGAAGCCTGGAGAGCTCAGCATACTTCCTGAGTTTAGCAGAAGGGTCTGTAAAAAGACTGACGATACACCCATAGACAAACTCAAACTGAGGATGCCGTCCTTTTTTGGTGATGTTTTTGAAGGAGAACAACAGAACAACAATTAAAAGCTCTGGATGTACATTTATGACACACACGCACACTTTCGACAAGATATACTAACTGATATTTTCTACATCCTAAACTATTTAGTTTGCTAGTATTTAGTACCCTGATCTTCAAATCAAGGGGTTAGCAGTTCAATCACACCTCTTGACAACATGCCAAAGTATTGTGGCAGTTGCTGTACATAAAGGCGCCCGCTAAATACTAATGTTTTCTTTCTTTCACATCGTCGTTTTTTGCATATTTCGAATATCAAAATGTGTTAATATATATATGTTTTTTTTTCCGGTCATACTGCACTCTTTCATGGAGCTCATTTAGATCATCTATACTGCTGGAAAGCTTAACCTATAATGATATGTTTCTTTATTACTTCATTTATATTTCGAATGAGCCAATAATCTAAATCTGTAAAGTAGCTAAATTGTGAAATAATGGTAGTGGACTAAAATACACATTATCACTTCAAAAATGAAGTAGAAGTATACAGTATATAAACTACCAGTACCTAAACATTGTAATAGAGTACTAAAAGTACTCTATTACATTTGTATCTATATAGATCAGTTAGTAACACAACCTATCCACTGTTTTATTTGTTTATCTTAGCCTTGAGCAATGAGCTAAGAGATCATAATTAGCGTGTGTGTCGGTGAATGAAACAGCCTTTAGGAACAATGGGAAACACAGAGCGTAGGTGGGTTTTCCATCGCACTCTGACAATTATTTTCTCTGTTTGTGTTTATTTAAGATGGGTCCAGTAATGACCTCATCATCATGAGACCCAGATGAGGTGGTGCTGCCCGTCACGGCCGGCAGCTGCTGCTTCCTGCCTGAGAAACAGAGATGGGAGTCGCCTCAGGGAATCTTTTCTCAAACAGTGAAAGGCTTTGAAGTGGTTTGAGGGTGCAGTAAGTAACGTTTTTTAATCTGTTTTGTAAAATAACTTTATGATGAAGACACAAGCTGTGAAAACCAGTTGAAAAATGTAAAATTATTAATATTTGATAACAGTCTACAGGCATCCTTTCAATGAAATGGATGAAATTAGCATTGATAGAATGTAAATTATCAAAGTGTATGTATTGAAGTATAGTGTATTTTATTGTGTTCCTGTATGTGTTGTATCTTGATAATGCACTCTGTCTATTATGTCATTAATCAAATAAATACATGAAATCCAGTGTTTGTTTTGGTATTTGATATAAGGTCAAATTGAGTAAATAAATGCACTAAAATGATTCTTTTGCACATCTTGAATAATAGTGCTTATGGTACAGTCCGTATCCATCCATGCAGATCAGTATATTACTAAATGAATCCATGTTTGAGGTCATGAGTTAAAGAAACACATTTATCTGATGAACTGACTTTAGAAAGAGAAGGACAAACTGGAAGAGGAAGGAGGCTTGTTCATCGGAGAAAAGACAGCAGGAAGAGGAGTTTAGCAGAAGTGTGAGTAAATGATGATACACCCATATTCAAACTAAGGATGCTGTCCTTTTTTGGTGGTTTTCTAAGGAGAACACACACACACACACACACACACACACACACACACACACACACACACACACACACACACACACACACACACACACACACACACACACACACACACACACACACACACACACACACACACACACACACACACACACACACACACACACACACACACACACACACACACACACACACACACACACTTGTTTCTTGGCTGACGACAATACTGCAAAGTGATAACAGCAGACAACAAGTGATTAAAGAATCTACACATTTGATTTACAACTCTAGGTGTGTTGTAAAACTCCAGTTCCACAAAATACAAAGGGCAACAACACATTTTATTGACACAACAAATGTTATAACATTCCTGATGTGCTCACACTTTTAAACGGGCACTAAGCAAATGTACTACGGTCAGTGTTGGAAGAAGTAAGCTGATCCTTAACTTAAGTTAGATACTCCATTGCAAGTAAGAGTCCTGATTTCAAAATGTTACGTAAGTAAGAAAAGTATAAGCAAAGTATAAGCATCAATTATGTCAGTACAATAGTTAAAATATGTAAATGTACTTACTTACTTTCAGCCAGGTGTTAATGCTAAGATCATCATAGCTACAAGTAAAAGTACATCTAAACACTTTTAACACTTTTTTCAATAATTGTTTTGGAAAGAAGGAATATTCAAGATGTATTTCAGTAGGATAAGTTCAGTATATCTGGCCTCCAGCTGTGAGCAACATCTCTGTTTCCTTTGACCATTGTGGGTCACTAACAAACTCAAACATCTATTTACTTTTAGCATCCATATGAATAAAATAAAATAATCAGTTTTCCTTTTTGAATACACTATACCCTCACTACTAAGGAGGATAACACACTTGGCGTATACACTAAATCAGACTTAATTTGCGTTAAAGTGAACCCTGCCTGAGACAGACATTTCACAAAGACGCACCACAACAAACTAACTTACTACTCAACAGAATAACCTACAGTAGCTGTCTCGTAATAGCAGAATACCCTACAGTAGCTGTCTCGTAATAGCAGAATAACACTATAGTATTGTCTTAAAAAACAGCTTAAAATCAGATTTAGCAAGCTACAGTACTCTTTCCAAGGGGAGCCTCAATTTGTCCACACATTGTAAATCATTGTTAATACTTTCACAGGTGCAGCACACACATTCAGACATGCAGACATGCAGGCAGGCAGGCAGGTGGGTGACCCAGGTGAAGCTAGTGTTACACAGTCCTCTGATAACGTGAGTCACAGGAGTGTTCTCGCTGCAGACGTCATACGATAAGAGGAGTGTAAACAGATATTCATCTAGATCTGCTTCACGTGTTCTCTGGCACCTGGACCTCTGCCTGTGTGTCACTTACAATGTGTGTCTCGCCTTTTCACTGTGCTACACTCGTTAAAGTTTTAAAGAGGTAGGCTTGCTAAGACTCACTTGCACTTGGTGGAGATCCATAAGGCACTTAAACTTCCATAGTAAACAGTCCGTAACCATTTGTTGCAACCAACAGTCATCACAACTTCCTAACCCTTGCAAACAACACTATGTTGCACCCAAATATTCTTTTTTAACAGGAAATACAATGGTCAGTTTTAGTGTAACTGGCAATTAGGCTTTTCTTTACTGGGCTTTTAATACTCAAAAGAAATTTAATTTCAGTGTTTCTGGCCCTGGTGTGTAATATAGGCAAGGTGCAACACCACTTCTGTGACTATGGGATACACAGCTTAGGTTTTAGAAATATAACAAGGAAACAAGTACACCCTTTCTAAGAATATTTCAACAGACAGGTCTTTTTTTTTTTTTTAAGATACTGTTGTATAACATATGAAGTGTATTTCTCAACATGACAGACTATGGTAAACACTCGGTTTTGTTTTTATCTGCGGGCGAGCTGACTAATTGTGATGTAACCGTGCCAAGCTGCCGTACAAAGTCTTGTCTTGTTTTTTAGATTACAATTGCTGAACCAGACTCATGTTACATTACAAAGACAGTATCACATAAACACAGAAAACAAATAGCAGGTCAACCTTTTCTAACACAGTGATGACAGCCAACTGGAGGATAAACATAGAGGACCGATCGTAAAACAGAGAGTCAATAGAGACTCCAGTGTTTTATTCCTCCTTCTGTAAAAGACCTGTGTTAGCAATGATTTACTTCTTTGTTTAGTTAAAAAAACTGTTTGTGTTTTTTTTAGGTTTTAATTCGTGTGTGTTTATGCCACATCTGTCATTAAAAACTAGTGTACATGGTGGTTGTCCTATCTCTCCCTGTGTGTGTCAATGCACTGCTGCAGAATATGCCCCGACATGTCTAAGAGCAGCCTTTACACACACCCACACCCACCCACACCCACACCCACACACACACACACACACACACACACACACACACACACACACACACCACACACACACACACCACACACACACACACACACACACACACACACACACACATACCATGTATACATCACTTCAGGGGACATTACATTGACTTTCATGCATTTCCTGGAGACTTATCCTAACCTTAACCATAACCAACACATGCCTAACCCTAACCCTAACCCTTAACCTTACCCTTACCTTAATCCTAAACCTAACCAAGTCTTCACCCTAAAATGAATGATTCCCTTCATGGGGACCTCCAATTTGTCCCCATAAGGGAGGTGAGTCCCCACACGTGACTGTGTAAACAGATGTAGGTCCCCACAAGTATAGTAATGCTAGGCCACACACACACACACACACACACACACACACACACACACACACACACACACACACACACACACACACACACACACACACACACACACACACACACACACACACACACACACACACACACACACACACACACACACACACACACACACACACACACACACACACACACACACACACACACACACACACACACACACACACGCACACACTTTGGTTAAAGCCAGCTGGTTTACAGCCCAGATTAGATAGACAGTGCAGGTTGAGTCTCACTCTCATGATGGACTCACTGTTCTGGTAACATTACTGTAACAACAACCAATGACCTTGATGACACATAGTAATCAGAACTCAGTGAAATACGTACAAATGCCCCCTTTTTAAAGAAAACATTGGCAGAAATCTCACAGATGGATATCTCAAAAACCTTGGAAAATAAAACCAAAAGTATTTGCACAGATATAACCACTAAGGTTTTACTTCTAACCTGTTTTATTTTGGTTATAAAAAACGTTTGAATTTGCCATATCGGCTTTGTTCCACGTGACATAAGGATGAAGACAAACTACCAAAATATAAAAAACAATGTTGTTTTTCCTTCCCTAGAACGATTCAAAATAAAAGATGTAGGTGAACATACGTTTTGTAATGTAGGTGGACACATCATTTAGTATTCCACTTTTAATTCTGATATAATGCACATATTTTATTTGCCATATGTTTTATGTTTTCAATATTTTATTTAAATATTGAATGGTATAATCGTTTTTTAACTATCTTTTAAAATATTTCCTCCCATTGCGTTTATGTATGCATGATTATACACCAAAGCAAATGCCTATTTTTAAATCTACTTACAATAAACCTGATTCGGACTGATTATTACAGTGCCTGTTTACCACATGCTATATTTGGTATCATCTGCAGAATATAGCTCATTAATATTACAAGCAGCTCTTAGTATGGTAAACGTTCAGAGATTGTGTAAAAGGGAAGTGCTAAGAAAAGAAAAGGAGAAATGAAGTTAAAAGTGGAACATGTTTGTATTTTCATCTACTTTCCCGCAGTGGCTAATGCTCTTATGTAGACAGACTGATCATGAGAAAGCAGAGAAAGTAGAGACCTGACGCCTTGCTCAAGGACACGTCAACAGAAGTGGGAGAAATCGTAGCGTTGGATTCACAGATGATGTTATTGAATCCAATAAACACTGGTGCCTCGATGGAGAAAAACAAGTGTAATTATTGGTCAAATGCTTACATAGACAATACATACAGAAATGTTAAAGGTCCCCTATTATACTGTTTCAACAATATATGAAATACTCCCCTCTGCGAAATGTTCGGTTAAAAACAAACAATGGAGGAGATTCAGGTGATAAGGTGGGCGGGTGTTAAGTTGGTTGGTTATTGGCTAATGGTTACACAACCCCAAAAACACATTGTGACCAAATCTGAGAGAGAATCTTCTTTCCTGAAACTTTCCGAATCTCTTAACACAGAGGGGTGAACATAATGTATAAAAGATGTGAAAAAGAGGAAATTGACCTTTAAGTAAAAATATGTTACTTCCAAAAGAACAGTTGTTGAAGTAAAAACACATTTTCATCTTTAGAGTGAGGCACTATGATAAAATCAAGGGAACCGCATGAACCCATAGTTCCTTAAACGTCTGGGCAGCTTCCTTGAAGACGGTTCTGTTGCAACTGCACAATCATATTCTATAATTGGTGAATTACCTTACCCAGGTGTTTACGAATAAACCGTGTCAAAACGTACAAAATACTCACAAACCATTACAGGGTCTTGACATTGTTGTGTTTCTGAAAAAGTATCTCTGTACTGTTGATGGGTAATGTCATTGTTTGTTTTCACAGCAGTAGAGTTTAGTTTATTTGTTTATAGTGTCGTGGACAGTCCCCATT